CGCCTTTAAATCATCACATGCAATATATCTAGACCCGCCTTTAAATCATCACATGCAATATATCTAGACCCGCCTTTTTTCCTTTATATATATATTCAGCTTTATCACCAAGAAAAAGATTTGCCAAGATATTAGTCTTACCTGATCCACTCTTCCCGGTGATTAGCATACTGAAAGGCCATGATGGGCTGGCTGGACGTGACTGAATCCGGGATGATTCATGCTTTGTAGCCTCATCCATATCCATAAGATAAAGTTTCATAGGTGGTAGGCTCGATGAGCCATGATTCGGAGAATCGCCTAACGGCCTGCTCCGCAATAGTTCTTTCTTTCGGTTTTTTTGTATGACGGATTGGGAATCCATAACTATGATTTCTATAGATTGGATAAAAAATTTCTGGTGTGACGACAAAAATGCGACACCGTCGTCAGTGTCGTGATATGTATTTTATGACACATTTTCTTTTTTTCTCTCAAGTTCGAAAAAAAAGCGATACTCCAAGTTATAATTAACTAAAATATCCGGAATCGAGTGATGAAGTTACAAGAAGGTAATATTATATCGGCTTATCCAATCTACATATATAATTAATTCTCATTAGTAACTTTTTATATGCTTTAGTAGAACCTTTTTTGAAAATAAATCTGAGAATATGAAATATAAATCAAACAAATGCATCATACTTATAATCCTTTTGAACAACCAAAGTTAATAGCATGTATTATTAAAAATCTGGCACCAAAAGATCTCGCAAAATGTCTTCATATTAATTATATATGGAAAAAAGAAGTGAGACGCGAGTTCTTTATAAGACAAAAAAAGCTTGAAGATAGATAATGGGACTTGAGATGCAAAATAAAAAAAAATGATAAAAGATCTTGATAGTTGTTTCGAACCTAAGACTGATCCAGAGATGTTTACAATTGGACCATCGATTCGAGATACTACAGAACCCAGGACAAGATTTGATTCTCTGCTTAATGAACAAGAGGAAACTTTTATTAAATTGCAAGAATTAGAAAAATGCATGTTTAATATTGATATTATCAATGAAATAAAATGTGAGTCATATTATTGGTATGAATACTTTTGAGATGTGTTCTTTTTCTAGACATCCCATATACTGTATTTCGCATTATAACTATAGATATGGTTAAAAGGGTAATATTTTTTTGTACATAAATAATATCAAAGCTCAAATAGACAGCAGCCTGTTATCGGATCCATGTATCCCATAGCCGATCACTTTTTTATTGTGGAGCAGGCCATGAGGCGACCTTTTGGGTCCTGGCTCTTCTAGCCTATTCATATTCCACGTGCGTCTCAATGCCACGAACCACATAATGGCAATAATCAACAGAGTAAGAAAAATATATGCAGATAGTGGTGACATCAAAGTACTTGCCACAGCAGGGATTGCTCCTATTCTCCCTATCGGAATTTGAGAGTGTGATTCGATCAAAGAGGGGTTATAATTTTCTGGCTGTGCAAGATAAGGAGCCATATTCGGTAATTCTTGGAATGTATTGTTGGTTTTGCTAATATCGATTTCATCACTTGCCTTGGTAATAATCTCGGTATTATTTTTTGATAGTTCGGTAATTTCACCATAAGACAGCGGAGTTAGTGTCAGTGGCAGGCACGTAAGTATCATTGTTCCACAATAAGCCACGAGTCTTCGACTCAAGACACACATTATCATCGATTTTTTCTATTGGACCCATATTTTTTCCGTGTATAAAATACTGTATTTACTGAGATTTTTGCTAGGTTCAATACAGTAACTGCAGATATATTATCAGACTCGGTCATATTTTTTTCGTCGTTTCCATCAAGTACGGGCTTTGATATAGCCTCTGGTTTCAGACACTCAAGTTCACTGACTTTTGAAGCTAGCTCATGCTCTACTTAAGCTATTTTAGACTTGAGGGATAATATCTTGGATTCTTTTTTCGATGAGTACTTTTGAATAGAAACTACATCTTTCTGGACTGAAGATAACTTACCTTCCAATATCTTAATCATAGACTGGAGAGATTCTATTCTTCTTAATTGAGTAATATTCTTAGTTTTGTACTCAACATTGGAAATCTGTGATTGCTTAATCTGAGATGATAAATTATCTAATTCTGAGTTTAATCGTTTAATGTCATCTATAAATTGATAGATATACTTGGTAAGTTCTTCTTTATCTTTACTAGTTTGATTTAGATTACGTTGCAAATTTACCTTATCCTGTTTGATATTATTAATAAACTTTTTATGCACCTTCTGATAGTTTTTAAAATCATCAATAAGTTCAGAATTAGTCTTACAACTATCACGTAAGGCTTCTTCAAGTTCTACCTCCCTAGTACTTCCAAGTCGATATCCTTTTGAGTTAATATCTCGTAATGTGCGTATATTAGCCATGTATTTTTTCTCATATATGTATAACAAAAAATATATCAAATATCCTTTTTTCCTCTTTGCCTTTCAGAAAAAAAGATGTATATGTTATCAGTATAGCGAAGCTAGTGTCTTCGACACATATGTTGTCTGTTTTTTTCTGGCTTCGAGCAGTTACTGGGTATCAATAGGCATCAATCATTAGGTATCAATAGGCATCAATAGGTATCAATAGGTATCAATGGGTATTAATATATATGAATATGCTCATCAATAGGTATCAATACGTTTTGAAAAATTATTGAAACTTTTTTTTCTAATACATATACTGTATATCTAAAGATGCTTGCCCATATTCATCAAAAATTTTATCGATCCAATGCGACTCATTTATCTGAATCTTACAGTATATTATAGAAATTAGAGAATCAAGGGGGAAGATACCAAATGCATCAAAAAGAATGGCAGAAAAATTTCATATTGGTGCTCGTCGTGTTTATGAAACATGGGAGCACAATGAACGTTCACAACAAGATCTTAATTTTCCATCACCTTCTGATTCTGATAACTCTTCTATTTTAAATGATTTTAAAAACAAGAAATCTTCAGCTATTGAGACATCGATTCAAAAAATAAAATCCAAACCTGTTCATATTTTGAATTAACCTTCTATTAATAAAAATTTAATCGGAAAGTTAAGCGCAATATCATTAAAAGTAAAAAAAGAAACTATACTACCTGAAACTTTGCAAGAAACTGAGGATCCTTTGGAATTCTATAAGAGAACACAAAAAGAGATTTAAAAAGTTAGAGCGGATGCACGTGCTGATATTTCTAAAGTATCAACTTCTAATCTAAAAGTATTGAATTGATTTCTTCTTTATACTTATTACGTAAATCATTATAATATCTGAATTGGTTTGAACACTAGTAAATAGTGCCTTTTCAAGTTTCTTTACATGAATGGTCATACTTTCACAATTTACGCATTTTTTTTAACTCTTCACTAGATGAATCGGAATCCAATGTTTTTGATGACTCTGTATCTTTTGGTGATTTCTTTGCTATGGGGTTCTTGCTGAATGTTGGGATAATGTAAGACTTACCATGTAACTTCATTCGGAATTGGTTTTTATTTGGGTCAAGAATACCTTGAACTTTTCGAATCCATGTCATACCTAAACATAACATTGGTTCAGGTTCACCATTATCAATACGTGGGAAATTTCCAGTAGCTGTAACTGTTTTACCATCCTTATCTTTTATACTGACTGTCACATCCATAAACCATCCCAATGATTCGATGATATGTTTAGAGTTACCCTTTATATCGAAGTCAGATGGCTTATCAGCTTTCCATCCGAGGGTTGTATCATTTAAGGCTCCAAATTCACTTCAATTATCTAAAAAAGATTTGTAAATAGATAAATCATTTGTACTAGCATTCAGGTATTGTAGAGATGAAAACCACTCCTCATCTGATTCTTTTTTCTGGACTGTATGAGACTGACACATTTTTCGCATTGCTGGTGAAAGCTTAGACAATAACTGATAATATTTTTCGGGTGGATAGTTACTAGATCAGAAGAAGGGTTAGCAAAGTTACCAGGTAGACTTGAAGAGTAATTTCTTTGAAATAAGTTTTTATTTACTGGTACTCATTTTTTTTTTTTTTTTTTTGAAATCATCATCATACCATACTGTATATCGTTTTCTTCATTATATCCACCATTTTCTTTATTAGCTGAAAAGTTATAATTTATTGGTTGAAACGGATAATATCGTTGTGTTCGATTTGATTTGGCTATCGGTTTTTTGGGTTGATTGTTTATATTAAGATGAGATAACATATGCCCAATTTCATCTACTTTCTCCTCTAATCTAATAGAGTTATCTTTTTGCCGTGGACGAGATCTTTGAAAAGGTTTTTTAGGATAATTTGAATCTAAATCTTCATTACCATATATACCTAAATTATTAAAGAATTTAGCTAAATAATATTTTTCATAATCTTCTTCCGTTTTTAAATTTGATGGAGGACCTCTTGGTTGTCTAACTGGTTCAACTATTTGCAAAACTGGTGCCTGGGTTCTTTTGTGTTTTTTGGGATTGAACTTCCTTTCTTAATTTTTCTACCTCAGCAGCGAAATTACTGAAGTTTCAATTATTTTAGGGTTATAGGAAGTTTGTTGATAAACTTTACCCTCATGCAAATCTGGAGTACGTTCTAGCCACATATTTTTTAGCTCGGGTGAAAAATGCATCAATACCACCTGGATTTGCAATTTTCATCCATGTATAAAGCTCACCCGGTAATTGGTTTTTAAGAAATCCTAATACTTGTTCATCATTATCAGCTGTTCCTAATAATAGTGGCTGAATTCTAGTTTCATAAATATCAGGAGTATCATTTATTTGAGATTTTTCTTGAGTCAATTTTTGATTGCAGATTGCTGACTACCTATTGTTTCTCTTTGATATTTCACATTTAAATGTGCTCATAATGTAGCAGGTGTATTTATACCAGAATTACCATGAGTATATGGATCATTAGCTGATACTGGAGCAAATTTACCTCCTATTTTACTTTTTACAACATTGCATTTAACAGCATCATTGAAATCCCCTGCATTTATATTTTCAAGAGCTGTCATTTGAGGTACTGCAATAGACCATGCTTGTTCTAATGTATTTACATAATCATCGGGTGGCATTTGACCTATATATCGTGGAATTGGTTGAAAAGATTGATAGATCAATTTTAATACTGGCTGTCATCTACCTTCTGTCATATTTTGTGGATTATTTTGTAGTAATAAAATTGTCCCTGCAAATTTAAAATTAATTGTTCTGCATTTTGAGTTCTATTTTTCCATTTTCTCCATTTAAGATCGATATACTAAATAGTTATGTATTTTTTTTTATCTTAGCTGAATTAAACTTAAATTGAGATTTATTATTAAGTAGTTTCTTATACTTTTATCTTTTTATGATCTATAATATTCTTAGATAGTATAAACTGAGCTAGCATTATAAAAAAAAAAATCCTTAGATAGTATAAAAAAAAATATTTATCTCAATTGTTTTTAAATATAACTTTCTTTTAATAAAGTATAATGACAAATATAGAATAAGCCAGTTTTAAAATAAAATAAATGCTTGTATATAAGTAAATAAATATTACTAAATTATGATTATCTTTTTTTTTTTTTTTTTTTTTTACTCTCTGTCAACATAATTATGTATGCTTTATTAAACATTAGTATACTATAAATTGCTAAAGTTAAATCTCTAATTAACTTACTCATCTTGATTATTACCACTCTAAGTGCAACTTCAGGAATAATTTTTACTCCATTAGTAGCTCAGGTAAAAACCCTTCCAGCTACTAATTTCACTGCCTATAAATCACTACTGCAAATCCTTCTTATGAGTTCTGATAGAAGTTAAAACCCTAACTATCTTATTGCATACTTTACTTTTTCTAGAAAGGTTTGTATCAGACCTTCATTTTCAAGTTTTTCTTCTTTTTGTAAAGATCTTTTCATAGTTATGGTCTTGTTGCTCTAGTTTAAAGGACTGGCTAATCTACTTATTTTGTCTTCTCTATAGATTTCTTGTACTTGTTTCTACTCAATCATTTTTAAGCATCTTTCATTTCAAATCTTCTTTTGAAATTGATTGCAAACCTTCTTCTACATCTTTATTATCCACTTTCGACTTCTTTATCTATTCTTTTTTGGTAATATTTAAGTTTGATATTTTCAATATATGATTATTTCATATTAGTTCCATGTAAAAATTTAATGTATTCTGGCTTGTTTCTGCAATCTTTTCTATAAGCCTGGCCATATATTGTTCAATTTTTCTAATTCTACTTTATCTTAAACTAGAAACCTTATTTCTTTCTCTTACATCTCTTTTTTTTTTCCTGTAAAAGTTTTTGAAAATCCTTTTGAATACCTTCAGTCTCTTTATTTCAAATTTCCTACTATTGAGTTTTATATACTAGACATTTTAGTAGATGTTCTATTGTTTCTGCATGCTATTTGCATGTTATATACTCTATTTGTTTCATAAATCTGATCTTCTTATAGCCAGTTTGAAAAAAGTTGATAATTCTTTATTAATTAATTTGATAAGAAAGCTTTTTTTTTAGAATCTTTAAGTGTAGTATCTCAAGTATATCCATTCTTCATTCTTTTCCATATCAAATCCTATGTGTAGTCACATTGATCTTGAATTTGTTGATTCTATTTATTCAAAATCCTGTTTTATTTTGTCTATTGATAAGCTGTAACTTTGCTATTCATGTTTTTAATAAATTGTTTTATAGAATTATCTAAAGTTATTTTATGCCATTTGATTTCAATAATGATTTTGGATAAAGTAAGATTTTTCCATTCAATTATAGGAAGTATTAAGGCTTTCTTTGTTAGAGTATCTGCTTTTGCATTGTATAGATCATTAGAGTATACTTTGACTTTGATCAGTTTCAGATCCAGTTTTTTTTTTTTTAATGATATCAAACATTCTTATCCATAAAAACTAGTTTTTTCTTTTAACCATCTTTTGTGAGTTCTTCTGAGATTCTCTTTCTCTATTATTTTTCACTTAGCAATATAGGTTTGATTGTCTGTAAAGATCTTAACCTTATTATTTGTTAGAATAACTAGTAATATTGTGACTATTATTACTAGTTCTACTCTAGTGAATAATAGCTAGTCATTTACTACCATTTAAAACTTACTTTTTCTATCCTCTCTTTCTACTTACACCTATGCTACTTCTATCTTTATTTTTTATATCCATGATCGATAAGAGATCTATTAAAGTAAAAAACCAATGTTTTTTTGAACTGTTAATTATATTAGAGTATTTCAATTAGGTAGTCTTGATATACTTATTTTTTATATTATTTCTAATAATTTATTCTCACCAATTCTCTATGTCTATTTGTTTTACCCTACTGTTTAGATTGGATTTGTAATCAAATTGGATTGTTTTTTTTATTGTTCTTTCTAAAACTATTTTAAAACTTGTAATATTTAACTGCTAAGCTTTTTTCATAGATTTTCTTGTATTTAGATAGAAAACTTCATATGTTCTATTCCTTTTTGTCACTATTATATATTGACTCTTCATATTTTTATCTTCTATACATTCTAAATATTTTGTCAGGCTATCTCTTGATTATTTGAGGACTACTTACTTGGTATCTTCTGATCTTAGTTTTCTTCATATTATTTTTTGAAACCTATCACTTGTTACTATACTGAGTATTTATATTTTATCACAATTTGGATTTATCTTTGTAATTGTTGGTTCCTATTTTAACCAGTTTTCTTTTCAGAATTTTGTGAGCTGTCCTGGTCCTCTTTTATGTATACTTTTTTCTATCACTAGATTCTACTCTGAAATAGACCTCTTACTGATTTTTTGGATTAGTTAAATCATTCACTATCTTTTTAATTCTTTAGTTTCATGGATGATCAGCTGATTTATGTACATCAGCTTATTGTTTTTGAGTAATAATATAGCTTTCATATATTAATTTGATGCTAGGTACTTTTTGATTGGGCAATTATCTTTGTTCTATTCGAAAATATCTTGTTATTTTCAGTTTTGAAATCTTATCCCTATATCTTTGATCAACTTTATTACTTAAGGTGCAAAGTTATCTTTACTTAACATATGATCTAATGACTTACAGATAAGTAGATTAAGTAGTTCCCAGTATTTAACTTGTGCTTGTTTAATTCTAATAACAATTGTAAGTCCTGCTAATTCTAGATTATTTAGTCTACTATATATTCCTATTATTTGACTTTCCTTTTGTGGTATCCAAATATTCTTTAAATTATAAATTTTTAAATAGTTTATTATACTATTGAAAATAGATTTGTATAAGTTACTTTTGTTTTTAAGATACTTTCTATATATCATAGTTAAAGTGTTGTACATTTTTTAGGATAGAATGTTATATTGTATATGGAACTCTATTCTTGATATCAATATCCTGTTTAAAATATAGAATGTTTGTTTGTCAGTCAATCTTTTATTCTTAAAGGCTCTTGTAATAGTGTTGATCTTTCTAAGTATTTGTTCTTTTAGTTTAATTACTGTCTTTTAATTACCAGTCCAGATTCCCAGGAATTTTGTATGTTTAGTATTATTTAGCTCTCTAACTGTTTCATTATTGATTTCTGCTTTAACTTCTTTTGAATAGTGATTGAAATTATTAATAATAACTTATACTGATTTGTTATTATTAATTTGAGAGTCATTAATTCTATAAAAGATTCTTGCTTCTTCCAAAATCTTTTCTATGTCTTTTTTAGATCTTGCTATCTATATAGTGTCATCTATAAAGGTGATAGCTATATATCTAGATTTCAATTTTTTGTTGACTTCTTTTCCTTTGAGACTTGAATCCCAAGTAACAGATATTTCACATCTCTTTGTTTCATTATTTTGAATTTTACATAACAAAGAATCATAAAAAATTCTTTACATTAGAGAAA